AGGTCTACCATCTTTGTACTGGAAACTACTGATGTACAGTTTATTATACGCATTGCTTAGTTGTCTGTGACTTAAAATTAAATATCATAAGTGGGAATCATAAGTTGTAGGTATAATAATCTCTAGAATTTAGTATCTCACCAAAAAGAGTTAATTTAACCGACTTTTAAGTTTATGAAACTTTTAAGCGATGAGTAGATTAGTTCGGTTGAAATACTTAATTATATAAATAAAACTTTTTGAAATTATTTATCAAGAGCTTTTGTTTTATGTTTTCGATCGGTGAAAATATTTGCATAGTTATTTTTATCAAACTTAAAATAACATATACCACTAAACACAGATGTACTTTACCTTAATTTTGTTTTTTTTCGTGACCTTTACTGAGTTTTTATTTGAAAACTAATGCTGAAATTTCCGATTATAATGAAAATAGTTGATATAAGGTATAACAAAAAAATTGAAACTATCGTAAAATAGTTGTTTCAAATTTGCATCAGTTATTTAATTACAGGCCTCATGGACATAAAAATAATTTAGAAATAGTCTAAACTTAGCTTTATATTTACACATAAAAAACTATTAGTTAAAACACTGATTAAAAGCAGCTATTTATTATTATGTTTATATTTTGATTATGTTTATACACATCAAATTCCATTAAAACCATTAGTATTTAAATTATTCATATTTTTAAAATACCAATAGGGTTTTTTGTTATTTTTTTCTATATACAGGGTCTATAACAATAATCTGACACATTGTAATGTAATTTTAAAGTAAAATACATATATTATATTTAAGAAAGTACAACTAATTAAATGATTTTGTTGACAGATTGATATTGTCATTAATTATTACTCATTTTAACTTTTCATTTAATGTTTTTTCTAGTATCTAATTAAAATTCAGTTAAATTTAAAATTATTATTATCAAATATCGAAAACTATTTTTAGAAGTTATGATATAGATTTTTTTTAAGGGATAATTAATCGTTTTATTTTTGTTTTGAAAACATTCAAACAATATGTATTTTTTGGCCCAAGAAATTCCACGAGTTTAATAAAGTTTAATGAAGGTAATTTGCTATTAACAATTTAGTCCATTTGAAACTGGCTATTATTATAACTATAACTTCATTGTGAACGCATTATATTATTTAGTTCAATGTATACTCTTTATAGCCATACTACTACATATAATTTATAAGTTGAAACTAAAAAATCAACAAAAATACAACTTTTAAGAAAAATAAATCATGTCATTAAGTAGTCAACGAGCTTAATAATAGTTTAATAATAGGCACAACATTAAAATCACTACTATATTATAAATTATAATACAGTTTTTACTTTTTTATTAAGTCTGTATGTTACATTTATACTCATAATATAATTGATAACGCTAATTTATAATTATTAATATATTCAAAAAATATTTTTTCCAAAATTAGACTATAGTAGTTAAGTGATTAACAATATTTTCAAAACAGTTTTTTTTTTTAATATTTATTATTGCGTTGTGGCACGTACAGGGTGTGTTTTTATTAAATCGAGTTTAAATTAAGTCAATTCTGAATAAAACATTTATATTAATTACTATTAATTGAAAAAAATTGATTATAAAAAAAATATTTGTTTAAATAATTTAACATTTTTTATGTGCTTCGACCATAGAACAATCGACGGCTACTATTTATTATTTAATAGTATATGCAAAACACAAATCATAATAATTGATTATTCAAAACAGTCAATGATTACATTAGAATTTCAAAAGGCTGTTTTGATGACTTATTAGTTAGCGTTTGTATCTATCCAACACACAACTTTAGATGACAATGATTTTAAAAAACTTCACAACGCATTTTCGTTGTCTGCACTTTGCCAATCAATGTTCCACAACAAAATGTGTACACGGAACGTACATTAAAATTAAATAATGGGTATGTTATATTGATTCCAGTTCTCACAAGTCCTAAAATTGCAGCAGAAATGTTTTTTCTGTTGTTTCGTTGTTGTGACATAATCATCAACAATAAAGTTATAAACAGATTGAAAATTGGATACTTACCTCGAACCTATACTCTGTAGTCAATAGGTATTTCAAATTTACGCCCAATATATATATATATATATATATTATTTATGTTTTGTATAAAATAAGTTGTATAGTCTAACTATATTATTTACTTTAATAATAATTGTAAATCCGCAAACAAAGAGCACCATTATATTTAACGATTGATCACGTTTAGTTCTACACTTCGATATTGACACGATGACATGTATTATTCATAAATCATAATGTTATATGCTACTATTCATAATTGTAATAATTTTTACGTTATGAATTGTACTACCTAGTTTATTGTTAAAATCAAATATCTATTATTATCTATCAACAACTAGAATATTTCAATTATTTACAATTTATCTTATACTGGTAATATTACGTATATTTAATTTAAGTTTTGTAGTTTAATTTGTCTCTAGGATTAATTGTTAGCTGAACTTATGGATATTTATTAAATTATAAATCAAAAACTGGTTAAAACTTAACAAGCTTAATTTTTTTTTTCCAGTAGATATGTAAATATATAGTTTAAATATCACTATAGATTATAGTTTGATTATTAAACTTAAAAACTATTGTAGAAATTTCAAATTAAGAAATGCTGCTGTCGTGTATTTCAATATTTAAAGTATAATACTCGATAAAGTCTTACAATATAGTAAATATGATTAAAATAAAACCCTATTATTTTAACTCAATTAGTTTAGACTTAACACATTATTTATTCCATCCAACGTCTAAATGGTGTTATGATGTTTTAGTGAAGATATAAAAGATTTTTTAGTTCACACTGACTTAGAAAAAAATGTAAATCAATTATAATTACGTGAAAATTACGAGTGTTATATCTATTGAGCATTTTTTTATCAATAAATAATATTTAGTGTTTTTAATGGTTTAACTAATAAGTTCTTTTACGATATTATGATGCAATAATATTTAAAATAAATTAATAAGGTGTTAAAATGAACAAATATTGAATATTTAAAGATGAATCATGCTAGTAATAAAAATATAAAAAGATGCATTTACAGATATAAACCAAATGTAAAACATGATTGTTAATATTAAAATACATAAAAAAATGTGTAAACATGTACAAACCATTACATAAATGTATGCCAAAAGGTTTTTAATAAATTGTAATTATAATTTTTATAATATAAGTAGGTATTTGACATTATTAATATTATTATACACACTTTTAATCATCTTTTTTTTACTTTGACAAAATAGATATTGAGTAAACACAATAAAATACATACTATTATTATAATTTGGGTTTTTATAGATAAATTAATTATACAGTTTTAAAATTATATATTTTATGATAATACCTATTTTAAAATAATACGTCATAAATACTTTTTATACTTTGTTAATTTTTACTGATATAAGTGGTATTTTACGTATTTTATGATTTAATAATTTATAACTAATACAATTATTTATATCTATTTTGTAATACAGAGTACAGGCCCAACTATTGAAATATTAGTTATTATTACCAAATATTTGTTTGTAAAAAACCTTTGTTTTAAGTTGGAACCTATTAAAAATAAATAAATATAAATGTTTCATAAATATCTTTTGTCTAATAATTAAACTTATTCCAAGAAAAAGCAGAAATTTCAGTCAAAAATAATATTGCAACATCATAACATTATTGTATTTTGTTCTGCACTAAATAATTATTGTTTTAATAAAATCACGAATTTTATCGTTAAAATACGATTTATGAGAACTTATAACGTGGCATCAAGGCTGTTGAATTATGTTTTAATTAAATTCAGTATAGGTATTCATAGTTTATTCACGCCTAAAACGATGAAAATATTTTCTAGAACGTGTTTGACAGTGTTGGTTCGACGATGCCAATAATGATAAAATACACGTACTTACCTAATGTCATTCTAGAATAACAATGAAAATGGAGAAGTAAAATAAATTAGTATTTTAGAAATTTGAGATGGAATTTGTAAGGAATGTTCGTAAATAGTAACAGCGATGATGATAATATTATTATCTATGAACATTTGTTATAAAATAATTCTAATATTATAAACAATTTAATTTAAGTCGTTACATACTTGATGTATAATTCATACGTATAGAGTATAGGTAGAAGGATTGGTAAAAAATGTATTTAAGTTGGACCTTGAATTTCGATAACTAATATCATTATAAAAAATATTATTGTTATTTATTAGTAGGCATAGTGTTATGAATATCACATTAATGCATATTAGTAGTATACAATATAATAACAATGATTAATGAAACATTATAATGTATATTATACATAAAATTAAACCGTAAATAAATTATTTATATATGATACATCTATTAGATCAAATAAAGAATTTGTAACTCGCTAAAATATAGCCAATAACAATAAGAAATGTTTGAACACAAAACTACCGAAGGTATCTAAACAACTTCAACGAGAAGTTATTGTATTAAACTGACCAACTTTTCCGATTTACAACGGTTCAGATCACTAATGTTCAAAATTAGATTTATTTTATAGATCAAAGGTTATGTCTAAAAATAAATTTCACTAAAGTTACGTATTTTGAATCAACGGTAATTAATTTATGAATCAATTAATAATACTTGGCCTTTGAAGTTATTTTACCGTTAAAACGACTTTAACTGAAGTTAATAGTACATTCATGTTTTGTTTGTAAACTATCATGGCATGATATAATATATTTTAGTAGGATTCTGTATGAAATACAACAAACAATGAAAGAATACTTTTTTTACAATAAACAAGTCAATCACTACATACAGTAAAGTAAAGCAGTAACAATAAAATACACAAGATAATTAAATAAATAAAACTCAAAGCTTATAGGTTTGTAAAAATAATATTATGCATATTTTATTGTATATATATATTAACATCAAATACATTGCCGAGTAAACGGACGTCCTGATTTATATTACTATAGTATACAAGAGTATCTGAACATAATCATAATTAAATTATATAAAAGGCAGACAATTAGACTAGAACATATAAAGTACAGTCGAGTATGATAATTATGATTATAATAATCAATTATATTATATAATTTGTAATATATTAATTATCATAAGTATATGACGTTATAATGTGGTCTCGATTGGTATACAAACGGTTATATAATAAAATATTTTCTTAATTATTTTTTATGCATGGGTGTGTATGTGTATCTCTGTGTAATCGATATCAAATTTAAGATATTTTTAAAAAAAAAAACAATAAAAACCAATCGAGCCCACGTTCAAAGCTGAAAGCGATAATAATCGATATGCAATAGCGCCGCGTGCACTAAATTTATCAAGGTGTACATCACTAGATGAAGATGCAGCAGTTTATCACAGTATGGACGCGACACGTTTGGACACATCGTTTTTTGAAAATATGTGAAGGTGTAAAATGAAATACGCGTGTTTGGGTGCAAAAATGAAAAATTATTTCGAAAAAAAGATACGACGGAGAAGAATACTTAACTTTAAACAAAAATGACGGGAAAATAATCCTATTGATGAACACGTTGAATAGTATCTAATCATACTTGTAAAATAATAAATTTGTACATTCAAAATAAAAAATGTTCGCATAAATATGGAAAGAAAAAAAAACAATATCGCCTATTGACTCGACCCGAAACTACTATTAATAATAATACAGTAATAGGTATACTTAGGTATATAGCTTGATACCGACAAGCGCTGATCGAAATGCAGACGGATTTTCGGTACACTGTTGATCCTACCTCCTCGCGTGATAGTATAAGCCAAGCGACATCAACAGACTCGCAGAATTTAACAATAATATTATGCACACTAAACGTCACGCGGAATTACGACTCGGTACGCGATACGGCGTGACGTTGTCATGCGCGAGGAAAATGCACCAAAACGAATTTCTCTGGTCCGCGCGGTGTACCGTGTGACCTAGTAGCGCGAGGCACCCAACGGCCGCCCACGTGCGCGGCGGGCGCGTTACAGCGGATCGCCGTCGCCGATCTCGGCCTTGAGGCTGGCGCTGGACATGAGGTTGGACTGTATCCAGTGGTGTATCTCGATGGGACACTCGGGCCGGTGGTACGCGCCATCGGCGGCCGTCTTGGCGGCCTCTGTCGCGTCGCCGCCGCCGCCCCCGACGACGGTGCGCATCAGCTCGTCCGCGCTGCAGCCGACCACCTGCTGCCGGTTGTACACGATGGCCCGGACGAACCCGTCGGCCTTCGACACGAATCGGAACTCGAAGAATATGGACACGTCGTCCCAGTACACGATCCTGGTGCGGATCTCGTACCGGCTGAACGTGCGCACGAACCTCCGGTACCGGACGCTGTTGGCGATGGTGAATATGAGGCCGCCGCGGCGCCGGAGCTCGCGCCATATGCCGGTGCGCAACAGGAACTCGATGCGGGCCAGGTCGATCTCGCGCAGGTACCGGGCGTTGTTCATGTGGGTCAGGTACACGTCCAGGTCGGAAGTCAGGCACACGGACGAGTACACGGCCGTGTCGGTGGCCCGAAGCTTCTTCTTGAAGCACGTGGCCGACACGTAGCTGAACAGCGACCGGAAGAAGTACGGCAGGTCCAACAAGCACATGGCCACCAAAATCAGCGCCAACGCCACGCAAACCGCCGTCAGCGTGGTCACCGCCGCCGTCGAGCCCGTGGCGGCGGCGGCGGAGGCGACGGTGGTGGCGGCGGCGGCGGAAGAGGAGACGGTCGAAGTGACCGGGGCCGCCGTCGTGGACGACAACAGCGAAGACATCGTTGGCCGGTGGTGTTGGCGCCCGTGCCGTACGGCTATACCTATACACCCGTGTACGAGCTACTGCCGGTGGGCCGCGGGAATTCGGGAATCGGTTGGGCCAGAAGCGGCGAAAGGGAGTTCCGCGCGATACTGAGCCGGATTCGCGCGCGCGGTGCCGCGAACATATGACATGCTGGGAGAGGCGGCGCGCGGTCGCCGAGACAGTGCGATTTCGAGTTTCTACGCCCCCCCACCGGACAAATTTATGCGCGTGCGTGGTAAATGGAACAGCGATAATAATAATTATTATTACACGTGAAAAAGAAACGTGTGCATTACATAACTATATCGTATTCCTAGATAATACCGGTCATACCGGATCCGGATGCGGACGACGGAATATCGAAAAATAAATATTATATTATAATATTCACTAAAGATTTTTATAAATAAATATAATATTATTATTACTATTATCATTATAATCACCTCTCAAATCAGAGACGATGCGTGACTTGATTGGATGCCGACGTTAGATTACACGAATCAAATTACAGTGCAAAAATATTTACTATAAATACATCGCAGTGTTTGTGTGTGTGTGAGTGTATGGGTCCTGTCGAGGTCCGGCAGAAGACGATCGCGTGACGGTTGAAATTACTAAGTAGAAAAAACACCCGTACGCCAGCCGAATAACAATGTATCTACCGAGATCCATAACGTCATAATATTTTTGAAACTTTCTTTAATAAGTCAAAGGTGACTGTTACATTATGATTTATGAAACGGTTTGTGTGTGTGTGTGTGTGTGTTTTTTTTTTTTTTTAATTTATAACCGTCTGTTCCTTCCTCTGCAAGACTGCAGGAGCATTCTTTACCACTAAAAATTAAAACCACCGCCACCATATCGGTCATCCCGATATTTAAATTTTTAAATTTTAGTTTTTATTTTTCGTAAGTTATTCAACGTTTATGTGTACGCATTTTATAATATTGGTATGATGAGAATGAATTTTGTACCTCTTGGATGTGTTTACCAACTCGCTAGGCACAATATTATTATTTTTCGCGATCCTTATCGGACAACGTGTATAATTATTAGGCCGCAATATTGTATTACTTATATGACGTCTGCAATTTATTTTCACTTTTTCAAAATTCAAAAAAAAAAAAAAAGTGCCTATATTATTGCACTTTAATTAGTTTGAAGAATAATCTTTTATTTTTAGTACACACTACTCCTTATATTTTTTATCTATAACAAACTACAAAACTTACTTATAAAAAATGATTTAATCTGAAACAGACCAACTGTTAAGTTTATGAAAATATGTATATTCTTATTTAAAAGCCTGTAATGATATGCTCACACATCATAATTTATTGTATATTTTATCATTTCGTTAAATAAAGTAACGGTCAAGTTGTCGCACGCA